AAGTTCTTTAATTAGGTTACACTTGTCGATTTTTATTTGTTTTTTCTTTCTTTTTTTTTTTTTTTTTTTTTTTTTTTTGCTTTTTGCAATTGCTTTTGATTACCTAGTCATAAATTCTTTCTCAAGGAAGATATCCAGTATGGTTTCCTAAGATTTCTTCTAGGATCCTTAGAGTTTGAGGTCTTACATCTAAATATTTAATTCACCTTGAGTTACATTTTGTACTTCATTTAAGGAAGGGGCCCAGATTCAATCTTCTGCATTTGGGTAGCCAGTTATCCCAGAAACGTTTATTGAATAGGAAGTTCTTTCCCATTGTTTATTTTTCTAAACTTTGTCAAAGATCAGATGACTGTAGATGTGCAACTTTATTTCTGGGTTCTCTATTTTTTTTATCTTAGTCAGTAAGTCTGTTTTAGTACCAGTACCATGCTGGTTTGATTATTGTAGCCTTATAGTGCAGTTGGAAGTCAGATAATGTGATGCCTCTGGCTTTGTTGTTTTTGCTTAGGATTTCTAGAGCTATTTGGGCAATATTTTAGTTTCATATGAATTTTAAAATAGTTTTTTTTGTAGTTCTCTGAAGAATGTTATTTTTAGTTTGATAGCAATAACATTGAATCTGTAGATTTCTTTTGGCAGTGCGGCCATTTTAACAATATTATTCTTCCAAATCATTAGCATATAATGTTTTTCCATTTGTTGGTGTTGTCTTTGATTTCTCTTGGAACTGTTTTGTAGTTTTTGTTATAGAGATCTTTCACATTTTGGTTTGATGTGTTCCTAGGTGTTTTATTCTTTTGTGCCTATTGTAATGGAATTGCATTATTTACTTGGCTCTCAGCTTGGATGTTATTGTTGTATAGAAATGCTACTGATTTGTGTATATTTATTTTGTATTAGAAATTTGTACTGAAATAGTTTATCATTTCCAAGAGGCTTTTGGAAGAGTGTTTAGGTTTTCTAGGTATAGAATCGTATTGTCTGTGACAAGAGATAATTTGACTTCTTTTTCTATTTGGATGTTTTTATACTTTCTCGTGCCTCATTGCTGTGGCCAGGACTTCCAGTACTATGTTGAAAAGGAGTGATGACACTGGGCATCCTTGTCTTATTGCAGTTTTCAAGAGAAATGATTCTAGTTTTTGCCCATTCATTATGATGTTGTCTGTTCGTTTGATATAGATTACTCTTTTTATTTTGAGGTATGGTTCTTTGACACTTAGTTTCTTGAGGGTTTTTATCATGAAAGGATACTGGATTTTATTGAAAGCTTTTTCTGCATCCATTGAAATGATTATATGGCTTTTGTTTTTCATTCTGTTTTTGTTGTGAATCACATTTATTGATTTGTATATCTTAAACCAACCTTGCATCCCCAGAATGAAGTCCTGCTTGATTGTGGTGCATTAACGTTCTGTTGTGCTGTTGGACTCAGTTTGCTAGTATTTTGTTGAGGATTTTTGTGTCTAGGTTTATCAGGGATATTGGCCTGTAGTTTTCTTTTTCCTTGTGACTTTGCCAGGTTTTGGTATTAGGGTAATGCTGGCTTTTTAGAATAAGGTAGAGAGATTTCCTTCCGCTTTGTTTTGGGAATACTTTCAGAGGAATGGGTACAAGTTCTTCTTTGACTGGTAGAATTTGACTGTGAATCCATCTGGTCCAGGGCTTTTTTTTTTTGGTTGGAAAGTTTTTTTAAATTACTGCTTCAATTTTGGAACTCAATATTGGCCTGTTCAGGGTTTCAGATCCTTCCCTATTAAATCCCAGGAGGTTGTGTGTTTCCAGGAATGTATTTATATCTTCTAGATGTTTTAGTTTGTGTGCATAGAAGTGTTCATAATGGTCCCAGAGAATCTTTTGTATTTCTGTGGGGTCATTTGTAATGTCACCTTTGTCCTTTCTGATTGTGCTTATTTGAATCTTATGTCTTTTTATCTTTGTTAATCTACATAGTGTATGTCTGTCAGCAGGTTTTATATTGTACCATGCAGATAAACCTACAAGCCGGTAGATGGCACTTACAGGTAAGAGCTGGCTGCACTCAACACAGCTAGGTGTATACTTGATTCTTGTTTACCGAGAGACTCTTTGATGAGGGCCCTGCTGTGTCACAATTTCAGTGGACCAGGCTGGGGCACCCAGCACTGGCCCACACAGACTAGTTCCAGGTCAACAAGCTGGGCCTGGTGGCAAGTCTCATTGTCCAGAAGAGACAGCTGCTATAGCAGCTCTCTTCCCTACCCAGGCTTATGGCAGGGCAGAGCACAATTCCAGTGCCTACTGCTGAGGCACTTTTCACAGTTTTGGCTGTGGAGACCCCCTACTTAACTCCAGAACAGAATTTCCAATCTCTGGCGAAGGACTAAAATGCCTGCGTGGTTGTGCCACCAGGTTGCATGACTGACTTTTATGAACCCGGATTAAAAATCGCATCCTGCTCTTAGTCTTGGGTATGGGAAAATATCCGCAGCTTTTCCTGGTGTCTTTCCCTCACAGTGTCTTCAAGCCTCTTCCCATGTTAGCTCCAGGGGTTGGGAGAAAGAAAGTGCTGTCCATCGGCCTGAGTTTCTTGGATCCCCAGTGGAAAGATGAATCATAGTGGGAGGCTCTCTGCCTCTCTCATGTACTTTTATCACTTTTATTTTTTCTCACTTTTATCAGCTCTATGCCATCACAGGGCCTGTTTGCTGACATTCTTCTCCCAAGGATCTGGGATGTTCCTCACAATTCTGGTGGATCCTCATTTTCCTTCTTGAATTAAAGCTCACAGAGTTTATCTATATGAACTATGTTGTTATTTCCAAGTGGCTGAGGCATGCTCTAATACACCTTCTTGGGAAAACAAAACAAAAAGACAAAAAAACCTTAGCTATCTTTATTGCTCTTCCTCTGACACCTAGAACAAGTGTCAAGAAAAGTCTCAGCTCAATAAATAGTTGTTAAATGAGTGCTTGACTGAATAATTCTTAATTCTTAATCTTTCCCAACCAATACATCAGCAAATCTCATTAGTTATTTTAATAATGTCTCTTAGAGAGTAAATTTCCTCTGCATTTTTACAACTTATATCTTCCACTTGACCCTTGTTCTTTCAGACCTAGATTAAACAATAATTTCTTAACTAAAGTCTATTTTCAACCTATCTTGCATACTTCTCTTATACTAATTTTCCTCACTGATTTTCTTGTCTCATTTTATTGCTTATAACATACACATTATATTAGGGGACTCATGAATCCTGTTAACAATCCCTTTTGTAATGTGAATCTTGCAATTAAGCATTCCATTACAGAATATCTTATATGTCTGCAAAGTTTTACATGCCTATAGTTTCCCTTCTTATGTAGTATTTTTGCCTTCTCTTGTAGTCCCCAGAGCACTGCTAGGCCCAGAATGAGTACTTAATAAATACTTGCTGCCTTGACATACAGACAGTTATCCATTTGTGTTTTTGTGAAAAAGCTAAACTCTTATTCAACAAAGTGATTGAAAGAAACCAGAAAGTAACTATGCAAGTAGTTAGGAAAAATATCGGTGAACGGAAATTTTAATCTTAAAAGCTAGTACTCTAAAGGGGTAGTACAAAGGAATTTTTTGGGAAGTAATTAAACTGTTCTCTATGGTAGTTACATGACTCTATGCATTTGTTAAAATTCATAGAAATGTACAACAAAAAAAGTGAATTTCACAGTGTATAATTTAAAATAAAATTTAAAATATTTTTAATATAATGAAGGTTTTAACTTTTTTTTTTTTTTAATGCAGTATACTAAGCAACATCTTGTCCCCATGTTCTGGAGTTATGCACTTGCTTTTTCTTTCTTAAAAATAGTTTCAACTGGCCAGGCGCAGTGGCTCGCTCACACCTGTAATCCCAGCACTTTGGGAGGCCGAGGTGGGCGGATCACGAGATCAGGAGATCGAAACCAGCCTGGCTAACACGGTGAAACCCCGTCTCTACTAAAAATACAAAAAATTAGCCGGGCATGGTGGCACGTGACTATAGTCCCAGCTACTCGGGAGGCTGAGGCAGGAGAATTGCTTGAACCCGGGAGGCTGAAACGTGACTATAGTCCCAGCTACTCGGGAGGCTGAGGCAGGAGAATTGCTTGAACCCGGGAGGCGGAGGTTGCAGTGAGCCGAGATCCGAGATCTTGCCACTGCCCTCCAGCCTGGGTGACAGAGTGAGATTCCATCTCAAAAAAAAAAAAAAAAAAAAAAAATATATATATATATATATATATATAGTCCCAACTATAATGGTAGGTGATTATTTCCCTTCCTAGTCTCCCGCATAATACTTTGGTATAACCCAAGTTTGGTGTTGTACTCTATCCTCTTCTTTTTCCTTTTCCACATTTAAAATAAATTATTAAGTATAGTTGAAATTATGCCTTCAATGATATACAGTAGCCTGATTTATATAAAGTTTACCAACTTCAATTATTTTTTTTCTCCTCAGAACAAACTTTCAAGGCCAAATTCTTGTTATTCATAAAGCACCCTAGGTGCAATAAAAATGCAGAATTTAGACCTTAGTTTAAGCTTTTCTTTTTCTCAGTAAATACTGTTCACAGTCATGAGCCATCTTTTCCTTCAATTGTACTAGTAGATAATAGGCACTAGGCAGTCATTGAATGTATCCAAATATACCTGGTCCCCCTGTTGGATGGAAAAGCTAGACAGCTTCATTTTGTGACCTGATACTCTGCTGAATAAGCAAAGACGATGGAAATTTCCTTTCCAGACCAGACCATTTTATGAAAATAACTTCTTAGCCAAGAAGCTATTGGGGTTGATGAGGCCCCTATTCTGTGCTAGGCTACATGGAAAGATTGCTACAATATATCAGACATTTTGATAGAAAAGAGCAAAATAATTGCAGCAGTTCTTTGAATGGAAAATTTTAACATTACAAATAAATTCCATCTGTGTCTGCACATGTAGTAGTTACAAGAAATTTTATAGCCTTAACTTTTGGTCAAACTGGCTACACAATGTTGGGGTAAGAAAGACTGGAATTTCCAGACCTTCATTAATCATACCTGCATGTAGGTGAACCCCAAAATTATATTGACCAGAAGTTGTGATAAGAATTGTACTCTGTTTAGCAGATGTGTGTTTATTTAGGAAATGAATGTATTCAGCAAAACCTCAAATAAAATATATTCATAAATACACCATCAGGTAGAGTTAAAAAAATACTGCTTTAAGTTATACCATAGCTTCTAATCTTAAGTTTGTGATATTTATAAAAAGTCTTGCTGATTTTTAATGAAGACTGCATAATTAAAGAAACCTCCTAAGACTTTCCATAAGTCAAGGGACACCCAGCTCTCTACTGATTATCATAAACTAAATTGGCAATCTGGGACATTTTATGAAAATTACTTGTATTTTAATGGATTTTATGCAATACCATTTAAAATATGTTTTTGATTTCAATTCTATACTTGAAAAGAAATGAATGCTGGAAAATGTATTAGACAAAAATATTTATTAGAATAACTGCTTAAAATATGTTTTTAACTGTTAAAAGAAAGTAATTTTACATTTTAATACTATAGTTTTCTGTTTATTATTTTAAAGCCACTCTTTTTTTTCCATTGGTTTGACTAGCTAGCTTCCCATTTTCAATTTTTAGTATGAAAAATTTCCTGATTGTTTAACAAATTACTGTTATTCTTTTTTTTATTTAGGACGTAATTCTTTAATTTCCTCTTGTATAATATGGTGGTAAAGATCATGGGTTCTAAAGTTGAGCTGTTTAGTTTGAATCTCTGTTCCACCATTTTCTAGCTGTGTTCTCTTGGGCAAGAAAGTTAAGCTGCTCTGAGAACTGCTTTCACGTTAATTAAAATGAGACACAGTGCTTAGTGTCATGTCTGGCATATGATATAAGTATTTAAAATGTATAATTCTCACATATGTTTCACTGAAGTATGGCAAATTGAATTTTAATGTCCCACTAAACTTTAAACATTCTGAAACAAAAATAGTATTTTCTAATTTTTTTGCTTTCTGAAAACCGAGGCTGTGGAACCAGAACTAACCTACAGGACTTCGGGGGTAGCTTCCACTGCTAGGATATTTCTTGGAAACATGAACTGAAGAAAAATAGAAATATAGAAAAAGTATTAATCATTTTTAAAATTGCTGCAGGACTACAAGCGCCTACCATCATGCCCGGCTAATTTTTTGGTATTTTTAGTAGAGACGGGATTTCACCATGTTAGCCAGGATGCTCTCAATCTCCTGACCTTGTGATCCACCCACCTCGGCCTCCCAGAGTACTGAGATTACAGGCCTTTGAAGACCTCAGCAAACTAATGATCAAGGCTAAGGAAATGGTGGAGTTATCAAAATCAATTGCTAATAAAATTAAAGACAAACAAGGTGACATCACAGAAGATGAGACCATCAGGTTTAAATCCTACTTGCTGAGCATGGGAATAGCTAACCCAGTTACCAGAGAAACCCAGGGCTCAGGCACACAGTACCACATGCAATTGGCCAAACAGCTGGCTGGAATATTGCAGGTGCCTTTAGAGGAGCGAGGGGGAATAATGTCACTCACAGAGGTGTACTGCTTAGTAAACCGAGCTCGAGGAATGGAATTACTCTCACCAGAAGATTTAGTGAATGCGTGCAAGATGCTGGAAGCACTGAAATTACCTCTCAGGCTCCGTGTGTTTGACAGTGGCATCATGGTAATTGAGCTTCAGTCTCACAAGGAAGAGGATATGGTGGCCTAGGCCCTGGAGACAGTTTCAGAAAAGGGATCCCTAACATCGGAAGAGTTTGCTAAGCTTGTGGGAATGTCTGTCCTTCTAGCCAAAGAAAGGTTGCTGCTTGCAGAGAAGATGGGCCATCTTTGCCGTGATGACTCAGTGGAAGGCCTGCGTTTTTACCCAAGTTTATTTATGACACAGAGCTAAGGGTTTTGTGTTTAAAATCCTTTTTGTCCATATGCTTGCGTCGTGTAGAGGTTGTATGACATTGAGCTAAGAGATAAACCCTGATCAACTGAGAATTTATTAGAACTTCAAGAAAACAATTGCTACATAGCAGCAGTCTTTTTAAATTATTTCTTAACACTTCCACTTGTTTTCACATCAAGAAAAATTGAATTATTTATATGGAATTCTACATATTCTGGAAGGCTGGGAATATTTAGTGCTTTTTTCCTGTTCCCCGAAAAAGATAGTCACTTAGGTGTTGGTCTGTTTCAAATCTAATGTTAAAAAGTTGCAGTATTCTATGATGAAGAATCATTAACAAATATTTATCATGTAGATATTTTAAAATATCCATAAATATTTACAGAAACTGCATCTATACCAACAAACAAAGAAACATTCCTGAGATGTTACCTGAGATATACCTGAAACATACCTGAGATGTACAGAAGCACAGAGATGATTAGTACCCTTTTCAAATTTTAGAGAAGTTATAATGGGCAGAATCCCGTTTGCTGTCAGTTATACCTGTTTGTCAGTTAGTCAGACGCTCAGGTAAATTAGATATATTTTAATAAATTATCTATTGTTGGATCACTAAGTGATATTTTAGAATAAAGTATCTCAGATACTTTAGAATAAATCACCTAAGATACTTTAGAATAAATCCTTCCACTTGTGCATATGCATGCATCATTTTAATGGCGAAAATGTATCTTACTCTCTCACCATGGAAACTGGCTTATAACTGAACTTCGCTTTTCAGTAAAGATGGTATTCAGTTTTTTGGCATCCCTGGGCTGCATTGGAAAAAGAATTGTCTTAGGTCATACATAAAATACACTAACCCTAATGATAGCTGATGAGCTAAAAAAATTCCAAAACGTCTCATAATGTTTTGAAAAAGTTTATGAATTTATGTTGGGCCACATTCAAAGACATCCTGGGTCACATGTCGCCTGCGGGTCCCAGGTTGGACTAGCTTGTTTTAATATATGGCCTCCCGCTGGATCTTCAACAGGTTTTAGCCACATTTTCAATAAGCAGTTCAGCATTTTTAAAAATCAGTGGGTAAAATGAGTATTTGCATTTCTACAATTTTATTTCCTTTAAGTTATACTTACTACTAATATTGATAAAATTAAAACAAAACAAGAGAAAAAAGCAGTTCTGCTTACACAACACTTGAGTAATAACACCAGACATTAAAGTTCTTTTTTCATGCACTTTACTTTCAGTAAGGATGCTGACATGTTACTTTCTTTTTTCAACTTGAATACTTTTAGATTTATGTCAATAAGTGATTCTGTGAATCAGGATCAAAATGCTTAAGGCAAAAGCATGTTCATAGAGTGAATAAATGCTTTGCAGCTGGTATATACTTTAAAATGAGGCCATGGTTTACTTTTTGTCTTTTGATAAATATATGGAGATTTGCTTTTGGAGTGAAAATAGGTAAAGATGTAATGTGGATCACGATAATTTATTTCACAAATAAATAACTCACTTAACAAGAGAGTGATGAAGGAATTGTATTATCATCCCTGGAGATAGAAGAGTTTAGTCTGGCTTGATGGAATATTTTTGTTTTTTGTTTGTTTGATTGTTTTTTTTTTTTTTTTTTTTTTTTTTTTTATTTTTGTTTTTTTTTTTTTTTTTTTTTTTTTTTTTTTTTTTTTTTTTTTTTTTTTTGAGACAATCTTGCTCTGTTACCTGGGTTGTTACCCAGTGGCGTGATCATGGATCACTGCAGCCTCACTTTCCTGGCCTCAAGCAAACCTCTCACCTTGGCCTCTCAAAGTGCTGGAATTACAAGCATGAGCCACTTTGCCTGGCAGTTGATGGATTCTTCAAGCATCCATGACTCCTATTTTTAATTGAATTGTTATACAACTTAACACCCACCATTTTCTGTTCGACCAGGTGGTGAAATTACAGGCTTTAATCACCCAACGTAACATTTGATGTTCAGATGACCTTCCTTTTCAAAAATCTGGACACTTTATAATAGTCAAAATAAGTTGTAAATGGTAGATGTTGGCATACGATTTTTTACTGGTCTCTTGCTTTTTCGCACATCTTGTGAGCAGTGGCACTGACCGCTTTTGTTCTGTATTATCTTTTCAAAGATGCAAATATCCTTGAAAGATATAGTGTCACCCTTCAGAGCAAAAGGTAAATTTGCTTACTGCCCAGTATAAAGGATTCAGATTGTGTATCCTTTCCCTCTGTATCATCATGTAGAAATTGAGAATCAGTAAGCAGGTAAAAGAAAATGCTGATACTCTGATTACTGCTGTTTCTGTGGCCCAGGGGTCTCATGTTATCTGCCAGCATCCTTAAAACTGTGGCAGGCTTACAAGTTAGTTTGCAAGTAGGGTGAAATCTCAGACTCCACCATTCTTGACAGTAGTTCTTATTTCTGGACATACTCTTGTTCTTGATAGTCATAGTTCAAATAACTATGCTAACAATTAATTGCACAGAAATTCAGTAATGAGCCCATAGAATTATATGATCCAAGGCCCTTTTATTTTAGCACCGTTTGTTTACTAGTTGATTAACTTCTTGGATCATTTGATTCTGGTCTTATTTAACTAATTAGGTAATGTATGGCAGTTGTTCTCAGCTGGGAAGTTTGGAACATGCTTTTTTGGCTTGTGTCTGAGAGTACGTTTATAGTGCTCTCTGGTATATTCATCTGGAGCACACTGCTGTGGCTTCAGACTAGTTCTTCTTCCTATGGCAAATAAATTTGTTTTGGTGGGTAAACAATTATCTAAGTTCCCAGGCTCCCTTGAAAAGAAAGTGTTTAATTTCCTTTGTAATGAAATCTTATCACTTTACCAACTATAGAGGAAAAAGCCCAATGTTACAACTAACATAGTCTGAAAAGGTAGTATTTGCTTTTGTTGTGTTTGTTTTCTTTAGTCATGGGGAGCCCTTGAGGCATGATGATTACCATATGGACCCACCATCAGTGACAGATGTTTAGCAGTTATTTTCCCAGAACAGCCTAGAGAGAGTGACCAGGGAAGTGCAGTATTTTTGTGTGTGAAAGTAACTTGATCAAGACTTATCTACCTACTAAGTCTGTGCAGCCTTGAAGAGGCATTGATATAAACAGATTTTAGATTGTTAAGCAACATTTATTAATATGCATTGCTTTGTGGAGATTCTTACAACTTCTTTATTATTTATTTATTTATTTTGAGATGGAGTCTCGCTCTGTCACCAGGCTGGAGTGCAGTGGCACGATCTTGGCTCACTGCAATCTCTGCTTCCCAGGTTCAAGTGATTCTCCTGCCTCAGCCTCCCCAGTAGCTGGGACTACAGGTGTGTGCCACCACACCTGGCTAATTTTTGTATTTTTAGTAGAGATGGGGTTTCATCATGTTGGCCAGAATGGTCTCGATCTCCTGACCTTGTGATCCGCCTGCCTCAGCCTCCTAAAGTGCTGGAATTACAGGCGTGAGCCACTGCGCCCCACCACAAATTCTTTTAAAAAACAAAATTGCAATCATCCTATGTTTGTGGGAGGCCATTTAAACTCTTTTACCCTGAATAGACTGTAACTAAAGGTTAGTTTTGAAATGGGTGGCTATGTTTAATTTTTCAGTGTGTAAAAAATAAAGGCATGCCTATTTGTCTCATTATATGAAGTTAATAAAGCATGCTATTTAGTTAGACAAGGGTTTCATTGTTTTGAAAGCTGATCCTGTGATCTAAAATTCTGACAGAATTTTCTGTGGAAATTACCCAGTTATATAATGTGTACAAAGATTTGGTATCTTCTGCTATTAGACATTTAATAGAATAATAATTATTAAGGGTATGTAAAACAAATTTATATAAGTTGAATTGGGGCATTGTGTGCCATTTCAGTGAACTTGATCAATATGCCAAAGGATTATGATTCTTTCCTGGATTTGATGGCTTGCTTCACAGTGAGTGTTAGGTTGAGATTCTGTCAGAGTGATGCCATTAGCAATAGGTCAGTGCTCTTTTAATAATTTTCTGTTTTGCTCCCCTTCTTTCACTTTATTTATAGTTCAGTTATTTATGGTTGCCACTGTAATAACAATTTTGAGTTTAAAAAAGTCATTGCCTTAAAATATTTTTGTTGTATTGAGAGAAAATTTGGTTCTAGCAAAGAGACATTTTACTGGGATGAAAATACAGCAAGGCATTTGTAAAAATAGCTTTTTTTTTCCCATTGGAAAAATAAAAGGAAGTGGAGAAATACATTTATTTCAACCTAGAATCATTAGGAGTTGCAGTTCTGAGAATTTTCATGTGTGTTTCTCTGGGTATTATTGGTCTTCTTCATAGAATGATTTGAGGGACTTTCAGAGATTATGTCAATAACTTCCTTACTCCTCATTATTTCACAATGATTTTGGTTTTCCCGTTTTTTCAGAAACAAATGTTGGTGGATTTTCACAGTGAACACTAGCTAAGTACTTGAGTAGATTTTGAGTGTAGGGATTGAGGTTCAGATTTATTTCACTTTAGAACATTTTCTACTGCTTCAGATTTATCTGTTCATTGGGAGAGATAATGCTTTTGCATTTGAAACAATTTAATAGGTGCCAAATACTGCAGTCAATCTAAGAAAATAGCAATTTTACAATTTGGCAGGATGTTCTTTGATGGGAATTGACTTAGAGCTCAAGAAATATATTGCTCGACAGTATTTAACTGCCAGTCAGTTTTCTTATTAGATTCTCTTACTTCAGAAGTTCCTTTTTAATGGATCATTATCAAGATATAATTTCTTACTTTGGTCAGCCGTTTTTCTGAGCACAACACTTTTGGAGTTTTGCTGTAATTCAATAAATTGTTATGTCTTCTTAAGTTTCTCAGGGAGAAATTTACAGTCTCCCAGTGATCCTTTAAACATTTACTGGGCATACAAAGCAGCCTATCTTGTTTCTCAGAGCCCCATGATGTGAGTGAGGAAAGTCATTAGGCTTCAT